CTCTGTTGGTCTTGGTGAATTGGGGGGCACAGTAGGTCTGAGAAGCCACTGTCGGTCTTAGAGAATTAGGGGGCACAGAGTAGGTCTGAGGAGCCTCTGTTGGTCTTGGTGAATTTGGGGGACACAGGGTAGGTCTGAGGAGCCTCTGTTGGTCTTGGTGAGTTACCTAATTATAATTTACTCAGGTTTTTTGGTTTTTTTTTTTGAGCCATTTCTTTCTAGTCCCAATACAGGACCAAACAAGACGACTAGAGACAAATGTTTTATTTTATTAAGTTCCCAACTGAAAGCAAGTGTGAGATAAATCACTTGTCATTGTCACAGCTGGTCCACTTATGAGCCTGATTGGCCTGGAAGGGAGCCCTGGCTGTCAAGGCCAAGCCACGAACCCTCTTGCCCTGGCCGCGCTGGCTGGGAGCCAGCTTTCTTTCTTGCACCTACTCCACTGACTGGCCAGCAACTGCTCGTTCTTTCTCTTGACCCATGTAACTCCCCTGAGGCCACACAACTGGGTCACTAAGGGAATCTAGGAGATAAAGGGCAGGCTTCCTGGTGGGAGGATGGTGCTGTGGAGCACTGCCAGATTTACCATCCTCGAGATTTTCAGTGGCTAGTCTTGTGGCTCCCTTTCACCCCAGATGTCTTTATGAGGACAAAAACATAAGTCAACAGCAAATAAAAGTATCATGCCAAGATGAACTTGATGGTCCGAGCCTTTGGGTTACTGATTACCAGGATAAGAGAACAGGTAACAAGGTTATTGTAGGACAGTATTTGGAAGACTGTCCCCTGAAAAGAAGATCCACTGGGATTGTTGGAGTGTGTTCATCAGTAGGGAAGTTGAATGGGAAGAGAAGTCGAATGGGGACAGACAAGCTTTGGAAGAGCCAGAGGGAGGTTGGACTTAGGCAGAATAGCTGTAAAGTGTTAGAAACAGTAGCTGGAACTGGGCATGGTGCTGCACACCTGTACCCCAAGCATTTGGGACATCTTGGCAGAAGGCTCACCAGTTCATATTAGCCTGGCCTTATGCAACGAGAGATCATAGGGCAAAGGGGGAGTTTCTCTATGTAAGTACTGCTGAGGATGTTTGCAGTAGCATTGCTCAACTGGTCCTACTTTGGGGATCCACCTGATGCTCCACGGGTGGTGGTACAGGACCTCTCCACACCTGGATTCGGGTGCAGCAGTGGGCAGCAGGGAAGGCAATGAGAATCACAGTCTTCTGCAAGTGAAATGAACCCAACAGTATAGTATTGGAAGCAGCAGAGTGTAGACCTGTTCCTCCTATTCCTGCCTTAAAATTCTGCTCAGTTCATGGTGGAGTCCGAATGAGCACACTGTTTAACATGATCTGTCCACACTGGGCAGCTCCCAGCCTTTGCCTGGTCAGCAGACAGGGAGATCCTTAGTAGGAGGTGGCTTGGCATACTTTAGAGTCGGAAATTCTTGCTAGCCAAGTCATTGTCATGGAGAGGTGTCCTCAGTGCTTTTGGTGGCTGTTGATTGACAGTCCCCTCATGAGCCTGATGGCCATCCCCTTCTAAGACTCAGCACAGCTCAGACAAGCTAGTGGATGAATACAAATGATCTGTTTACTGACAGTGCAAACCTTGTTTGTGACCAGGTGAAGCCTTACAATGTGTATGTCACTGTGGCCTACCCACCAGACACTGACACCCCGGGGCTGGCAGAAGAAAACAAAACGAAGGTCAGTACTCCTACATAGTTGTTTGCCTTCTGTGTCGTATACGTGTGTGGGGGATGTGTTTTGTGTGTGGGAGATGTGTTGTATGTGGGATGTGTGTGGGATCTGTTATTGTGTGGTGTTTGATGTGTGGTATACATGTGATGTATGTTGTGTGTGGTAACTGTATGATGTGCATTTTGAGTTCTGTGTGTTATCTGTGTTATATGTACTGTGTGGTGTGTGTAATATATGTTGTGTGTGTGATATGTGTGTGGTATATTGTGTGTATGATGTGTATATGATGTGTGTTGTGTGTAATGTGTGTACATGCATATTTGTGATGTTGGTGTAGTGTGTGTATGTGCATGTGACTGTGTGTGGGGTTATGCATGTTTGTGTGTGTTTGTATTCTGTGATGTGTATATGTGATGTGTGTATATGTGTCTATATGGGTGTGTATTGGTTGTGCCTATTTAGGTTTGTGTGTCTATGTGTGTACTGTGCATGTTTGTGGGGGGGACTGTACATATTAGAGTTTGATGTGTGTGTATGTATAAATTGTGCATGTTTGTATGGGGGGATTGTGTGTGTTTGGATGTGTATTTGTGTGTGTGCACTGTGCATGTTTGTGGGGGGATTGTGCATGCTAGGATGTGTGTCGTGTGTGTTTGTGTTTATGTCTGTGTGTGTGTGTGCACTGTGCATGATTGTGTATGGGGAGTGTGCATGATTAGATGTGTTTCTTGTGTGTGTGCGTTTGTATTTATGTCTGTGTGGAGATTGTGCATGTTAGGGTATGTATGTTACATGTGTTATGTGTGTGCACTGTACATGTTTGCATATGGGGATTATACTTGTTTGGATGTGTGTAGTGTGTGTACGTGTTTGTATATGGAGATTGTGTATGTTTGGATATGTGCATTGTGTATATGTGTTTATATGTATGTCTGTGTGTCCACTGTGCATGTGTTTGTATGTGGGAACTGTCCATGTTAGGACAGGATGTGTGTGTATGTGAGTCTACTGTGCCTGTTTATGTGTGGGGATTGTGTGTTGGGATATTTGTCATGTATCTTTGTTTGCTTGTATGTATTGTCCATGTTGGGATGTGTGTGTATTGTGCTTGTTTAAGTGTGGGGATTGTACATGTTGGGATGTGTGTTTCGTGCATGTGTTTGTGTGCAGATGCATATGAACACCAGAGACCTGCCTTGGGTGTTCTTCAGATGGTGTCCACCTTGATCTTGAGACAGAGTCTTTCACTGCTCTGGAACTGTTAAGTAGGCCGAGCTGACTGCCCTATGAGCCTTGGGGTCCTCCTGTCTCTGCTTCCCCAGGGCTAGTTTTGCAAGGCTGTGCCATCCAGGTCCAAGCAGGCCCTTTCTCTCCACAGTTCCTCTTCTGATTTTTATGCTACTTTAGCTCCTGGCGTTTACCTGTTAGTGGTTCCTATTGGTTCTGTTGGGTGCAGGATGCTGAGCCAGGACGTCACCTCCCTGGGGTTCTCCAGGCCGAGCTTCCTTCCTTCCTCTGCTACCCAGTCCCCCCCCCCTTTTTTTAATGTTTAACTTAATTTTTTCCAACTTTCTTCTTTTATACGTTACAGTTGTCCAGCACTGCTTGTGGTCTTGTCTCTCCCCACTTGTGATTTATGTTCCCCAGATGAAGCCATTTCATCCATGTGTTTAAAATCAATGCTTGCATACATGGGTCCATACACTCATGCATACATTATACATACTACTTCTTGCTGGAAGCTGATATGGAAGCCTCAGATGTACTCCCTCCTCCCTGTGTTATCTGTGATGGGCAGGTTCTGTGTTCATATGTAACTTTATGAACATTAGCAAAGCCTGAGCCTCTCTATAATGACCTTTCCTTTCTTGCTATGATTATTTAATGTTTGTGCATCTGCGCCTCGCTCACTGGGAGTAACTCAACATCCTTGGATCTGAACATGTGGGGTTCCTTTTCCTTTCATTGTCTTTCCTCAAAGCCCCTTCGCTGGGACTTCCTGGTGAGACACAGGCAGCTGCCATTCTCAGCACTCCACTCTATGCGGGGCTCCCTTTCTTGGTGCGTGTGTGTTTGTGGTTGCTGCGTTTGATGGTTTGTTATATTGGGCACAAAATTCTATGTTGAAAATTGTGGTTCTCAAAGTTTTGCAGGCATTTCTCACTGAGTTCTAGCTCTAGTGTCTCTGTGGGGACCTTGTGACCAAACACCTGAGGAAAGTACCCTGACCACGGGGAAAGGTTTGCTTTGGCCCCGCGTCCATGGTTTCAGAGACACCAGTCCAGCAGGATAGGGAGGACTCTGGGCAGAGCAGTTCAGGTTGCAGGAAGCAGAGGAAAGGGGAGAACTGTAGCCTCGGGAACACAGGCCTAATGATCCACTTCCTCCAGCAGGCCCCACCTCTTACCTTTCACCTCCTTGCAATAATGCCATCAGAATGCGCCTTACCTTCTTCCATGACTAAGCAGCCCTCTGTCACGCCCCGTCCCTCCCTGCCCCAAGGTGTGCCTCCCTCTTCCCAAGGCTTCTCTAGTTTGTTTTAGTGTATTGGTGGTGGTCTTTGTTTTTGAACCCTCTTCCCTTTTTATCTTTTTAAAATGTCATTTGATGTGAAATGCTCTTATTTCATACACTAGACAGTCATGGTAGCCCCTTTATTCCGTCAACTCATGAAACTTCAGTTCTGGAACATTTTCAATAATTTTTCCATCCAGAATATTTCAGTGCGTTCTTTCTGGACTCTTGTCCACTTTCTGGTCTGATTGTCCCACTTCCTTCTCTTATTCTCGTTTTCTTTCTCCTTCCATTTTTCTGTTGAAATTTTTATTTCTACTGATTTTTTTTAGAAAGCTTCTATCTTCTTCCTATCATGGAGTTTATCTTAGCATTCCATTCTATGACTATGAAGAAACACCAAGACCAGCATAACTCCTGTAAAAGAGAGCATTTAGTTGGGGCTTTCTTATGGTTTTGTAGAGTTACTCCATTAACCATGGAGGGAGCATGGTGGCACAAAGGCAGGCGTGGTGCTGGAGGGTGGCCGGGAGCTAAATCCTGACCCTGGGCCTGGTGTGAGTCCGTTCTTTTATTCCTGAGGAACTTCAGTCCGGACAGTGGTTGTTTTTAGTTTTGTTCTTTCCATTTTACTCTCCCTTATCTGTTTCTTTAGTTCGTTGCAATTATAGTTGCTGCAAGCATACAGCACTGCACGTTAGTGATTGCATTGAGTGTGATGCTGAAAGGCACTGCAGGCATGCGGCGCTGCACTCAGTGATTGCATTGAGTGTGATGCTGAAAGGCACTGCAGGCATGCGGCGCTGCATATCAGTGATTGCATTGAGTGTGATGCTGAAAGGTACTGCAGGCATGCGGCGCTGCACTCAGTGATTGCATTGAGTGTGATGCTGAAAGGCACTGCAGGCATGTGGCGCTGCACTCAGTGATTGCACTGAGTGTGATGCTGAAAGGCTGGTTATGAGCCCTGGAGCATCCTCCACCTTCTGCTTTGCCTAGAGGCGGCTGGGTGGGGCATTCATTTCCTTAGATTCCCTTACATGGACATCTACTCCCCTTTTCTCATCCTTTCCCCAATGAGGAGTCTTGTGGTTGTTTGGGTAAAGGCTTCACCTCAGCCCCTGGCACCCCTGTACCTGTGGAGGAGGCTGTTCTAGAACCGAGGCCATATACAAATACTTCTGCTCTGCCTCCCTCTGCGGGCGAGGGCTTGGATCTGGTTCTTCAGCCTCCACAGCATCTACCCCATGTGGATGTGTGGCTTCTGTAGAAAGAGCTCAGGCTATCCTGAGCTGAGTGCAGGCTATCTCATGTAGACACTCAGGGGTCTGTGACCGTGTGGGAGTGCTGGACACCTTTCTCACTCAGTGCGTGTCCTCACCCACCTGGCAGGCCAGGAGAGCAAATGGTGACACCATCAGAAGGAAAAACTGACTTTTAGGAAGTGTTTTGTTTTTCTATTTTAAGAAGAAATAGACGGAGCGTGGTGGCACGTGCCTGCCATCCCAGTATTCAGGAGGCCGAGGTACGAGGATCAAAAGTAACAAGCCACCTTGGGCTACATGGTAAAATTTGGTCTCACAAAACCAGGCAAGGACGACGAAATATATGCTAGATTTTCCTCCTCAAGCCTAGGTAAAGAGTCAAAAATACAGTCTCCTTTGTCTTAACGCTTCAGTTGGAAGCTCTTTTGAAGAGTGTTTAGATGCGTGTTAAGTGCTACTAAGAAAAGCCGATGAAAAAGAGAAAAAACTACTGCTCACAAGTGAATTAGGACAAGCTGAGTACAGAGGTAGCTGTAATATAGATGAGTGCAGAGGTGGAGGAGAAAAGAGAAGAGGGGGGAGGGAAGGGAGAGACAGAAGGAGAGACAAGGGAGAGAGATAGAGAGAGGGAGGGAGAGGGGGAGGGAGGGGAGAGACAGAAGGAGAGATGGAGGGAGAGAGATAGAGAGAGGGAGGGACAGAGGAGGGAGGAGGAGGGAGGGGGAGGGAGGGGAGGACAGAGGGAGAGATGGAGGGAGAGAGAGAGAGATGGAGGGAGGGAGAATGAGTGGAGAGGGAGAGGGGAGGGAGACATAGAGAGAGGGAGGGAAGGAGAGAGAGGGAGGGGAGGGGAGAGACAGAGGGAGAGACGGAGGGAGAGAGAGAGAGATGGAGGGAGGGACAGAGGGAGGAAGGGGAGATGGACTGATGGAGGGAGGGAGAGGGAAGGAGGAAGGGAGAAAGAGAGGAAGGAGAAGGGAGGGAAATGGGAGCGGGGAGGTGTTCTGAGCCAGGTCAAGAATAGACCTTCATCTGTCTTTTGTGGACCAGGAACTGGAGTCCCAGTTCTGTAACTATCCTCAGACAAACTAGGGACTACAGTGTTGACTCTCAGATGGCCGGCTAGTCTCTCTGCTGGTCCGTGAGGAAATAGTTACAGTTCTTCACTCAGGGTTTGTGTCTGTCCCCAGCATCGTCATTTGCTCAGGGGGAGTCCAGTCAGAAGGGAGGCACTGGTGGGATAGATCGCTCAGGCAGGGGCCAGCCTCTGTGCCCTCACTGGAGCCACACGTGCCACAGAACAGCAAGGGCCTCCTTGCCCCACTTTCCCCGTGGAGGTATTCCACAGATAGAAACTGACTGAGAATCTAACCTGATTTTTGCCTAAAACATATGAATTTGTTTGAAGGTAGGAAATGGTAATTATTTGTAAATCAGGGCCTTTAAGACTTATTTTAATGCAACAGGCATTGATTTGTGTGTTTCTCCTCTTCCAGCCCCTGGAGACCCGGCTTATTTCAGAGACAACAGCTGTTTGCAAACCAGAGCAGGTGGCCAAACAAATTGTCAAAGATGCCGTAGTAAGTAAAACCCGTGTGCTGTTTCTGTGCGGTTTGTATGTATGTTGTATTTCTGGAAAACACACAGAGACTTAATTCAAATGAGAGCATCCAGCTTTCGTCAGATTTGTCTAATCTTAGCCCCCACTGTCCTCCTCTTAGACTTTCTGTTGGTTCCATATTAGCCCGAGGGTGGGAGTCATCCAAGAACGTCAGCTCCTGGGAAGCGTGTGAACACAGCAGAAGCGTGCCGCTACCCTTTCATTTGTGACTTCAATGTTGCTTATCGTGTGTGCACATGTGTGTGCCCGTGTGTGCACGCGTGTGTGTGAATGTCACTTTCATACAGGGAGGGTTCTCTCCCTCCACCACGCAGGTTCAGAGGACTGAACTCAGGTCATCAGTCTTGGTGCCCACCTTTACCCACTGAGCCTTGTCCTGGCTTTCTTTTCCTACCCCACAGTCTGAGATCTTCAAAGGCTCACAATGCGTGTTTCTTTCTCCTTCCTGTTCCCTGGTACCACTTCCCTCATGGTCATGATAAGAAACTGTGTCAGGCTGCTGGGGCCACTATCCCCTTGCCATACCCCCTTACCCAGTCAATCTATGGGGAGTTGACCTTCGAAGCCATGTAAAGCATTGTAGAACACCATGTGTGCCACAGGTCAGTTGACAACATTCCCATTAATCCGCTTGTGAGAAAAGGCTCATTCTGAGGGATGTGCATGAACCCAGGTGGCCTACATGACTTTGGAAAATCTAGGGTCTGTTGCCATGAGAGACATCCAGATAACATGGTGCCGCTTCTAAGTGACGAAAGGACCTTTGTGCCAGCCGAGTGGAACAGAGTATCAGCAGCCTCCACCATCAGACCAGAGGATGGAGACAGCTCAGTGGGGAAAGGTGCCCGCCACCAATCCTAATATCCTGAGTTCTTCAAAATCCAGTGGCCAAAGGAGAGAACTGCCTCCCTCAAGCCGTCCTCTGGCCTCTACATACAGCTTTGGTGCACACGTGCATACAAGTAAATAAATGTGCGTGTGCGCGCACACACACACACACACACACACACACAGAATGGGGCTGGAGAGATGGCCCAGTAAGTTGTGCAAGCACAAGGACCTGAGTTCAGATCCCCAGCACTGACATTAAAAGGCCAGTGTGGTTACACCTGCCTGTAACCCAAGCTCTGTGTTGGCAGAGTTTGCAGGCCAGCCAACCTAGCCCATTGGTGAGCCTACCCATGGTCATTGAGAGACCTGAGGTAGACACCCAACACTGACCCCTATGGCACATAGGTACACCCTGTACACACACAGAGGGGGTCAGAGCAGTGGAATAGGAAGCATGACTAGGATAAAGTTAGTTTGCTTTTCTCTCAAGCCGAAACAAATATCCCCAAGGTATTTCCTCCCAGGATTAAAAAAGAAAATGTGTATGTGTGAGCGCCTGCAAGTGTGCATGTGTACCATGTGTGTA